ATAAATATGTGGTTGTTACCTTTAATTCAGGAAGGCAACATCAGTAACAGCAGGTCAGTCAGACAAGTACATTGGCCCTGAGTGCATCTGATGTGACACTGGGTGCTCATGTTAGGTGCTCTGTTTTCTCACTCCTAGATCACTAACACTAGGTACAGAGAACACAACCACTTCTGAAAAGATGGTTGCTTCATGTGATCAGCTTAATTATTGAAACAATTTCAATTTGTTGTCAGGCAAAAAAATCAAAGATCAGATTACAGGAAAAATGTGACACACCAACTTTTTAAATTTCTGCCCAGGTTTTTTTTTTTTTTTTTTTTTTTTTTTTTTTTTTTTTGTTTTTGTTTTTGTTTTTGTTTTTCCCCCCTCTCCTCTGCCTGTTGGCCATGTGTTTGACACTGAAGCCAAAGTGGGAAAAGCACTCAAGAGAGCTGGGGTCTAGGTCAGACCGTGCTGAACTATCCCTTCAGTATAGACTGAGAAAAATAGCTTCAGGGTTTGGTGTCTGCCAGAGCATCTATGGTGATGGTTTAATCATCTGCCTGAGATCAAAATTGCAGCTGTGGAAAGCACCAGCTGTGGTTTGGCCCAGCAGAGGTTCTTCTCTGAAATGCCATACATGAGTGCCTACATCAAAGGCATGTTATAAAGATGCCATTCAAGTGGATTGTGAAGTAGTCCCCTCTTATTATATCCACCTCACAGTACATTCATGAGCCTTTGGAAAATGGAATAAAATTGGAAATATGTGTGTGAGGGAAGAAAGCAAAATCTGTTAGATTTCATTGCAGTATTAACATTTTATTAACTTTAATCAAGAATATTATTAGGAAGTTTCTACCCAATTGAGAAATTATTTAAAATTTCCAATAGTTGAACTATCGAAGGAGATCTTGTGTTCATACTCAAAAACTTATAATGAGTAACAAGGGACCTCTGAGTTCATCTTGACTCCGGTACATATAGAGATTTATTAAACCCAAAGCAAGCACTGGGGAAGATTAAGCTCTTGGCTTTCATATAAAGAAGATGAAAAGAGACGACAGCTTACAGAATCCATGCCGCATTCCACAACACGATGAGAGCAACTGTTTGAGACCCCAGTCCACAACTGGCTACCATGGAGGTAAGCCTGTCAAAGGAGGGTGTGGAGACATGGGGAGAAAGTGAATGAAGAAATGATGAAGATACATAAATATATAAACATATATCCAGAACACAAAAATTAAGATTTGGGGTATGCCTTTACAAGACAAGGAAATGAAGCAGGACACTGAGCCAAAAAATGGCATGTAATAACCCATACTTTGTAGAAAAGAACAAAAACTATCTTGTCCTTGAGGGATAACGACAGTGATTGAAACTGAAAGAAGAAATTAGGGTTTTATCATAGAAAATATTGTTGAAATGCTTTATGAGTTGGGATTTTAAATGTTACCAGGACATGGAGGTCCAAGAATTCAGTTGAATAGTGTCTCTTTACAGTTATGCATGGAAAAGAGTTTTAAAATTGTTATATTACATTTTAGTATTTGCTTTCCCCAAGATTCAGTGTGATGCCAGCTACAGAAAAGGAAAACCAAACCTGCATTACAGAATTCATCCTCCTGGGATTTGATGATTTACCTGACCTTCAGGTTCCTCTCTTCCTGGTGATCTACTTGGTGACAATGATAGGGAACATTCTCATTCTTATGTTGGTGGTGACCAGTCAGCATCTCCACACACCAATGTACTTCTTCCTCAGTAACTTGTCTTGGCTGGAGACATGCTACAGCTCCACCATCCTATCCAAGCTGCTGGCCAGCTTCCTGGCAGGCAACAGAAGTATTTCCTAGAGCAGCTGCATGACACAGTTTTTCATATTTGCTTTTTTAGTTGGTGTAGAGTGTTATCTCCTAGTAGTGATGTCTTATGATTGATACTTAGCAGTATGCAAACCTTTACATTATGTCACCCTAATGAATGGTAAGCTTTGTGTAGCACTAGCTGCAGGGGCCTGGGTAAGTGATTTTATGATCAACTTTGTTATCACACTGTTGATGTCACAAATGGTGTACTGTCATCACAATGAGATTGACCATTTCTTCTGTGACTTTGCCTCCATGCTAACGTGTTCCTGCAGTGACACATTTCTGATAGAGGCTGTAACATCTCTGATATCTGTTACATGTACTATGCTGCCCTTTCTTTTCATTGTAACATCTTGTATTTTAATTGTCATCACCATCTTGAGAATCCCTTCAGCTACAGGAAGACAAAAAGCATTTTCCACATGCTCCTCTCACCTCATTGTGGTTACTATTTTCTATTCAACTGTCATTCTTGTCTACATGTTACCAAAACCTTACAACCTCACAGCTTTTCATAGAATGTCCTCTGTCATCTACACAGTAGTGACAACCATGGTAAATCCACTTATCTACACCTTAAGAAACAATGAAGTCAGAGGAGCTCGGAGGAAAGAAGTCTAGGCATTTATAGGTTTATACAGATGACATGCAAATAGTCACATGGTGTGGTTTTTTTTGGGGACTTTTTTTGGCCAGACTATACAAGTATAAAGCATTTGAGGTGATTTCCACAGCAAGTATATGGTCACTGATACAGCAATTTGCCTGGTCATAACTGAAGTTGAGTGACTGGGGAAAAAAATATGGGTTTTTTGGGACTTCCTCAAAAAAATCCTGTAAAATCAAACACACGCCAAAATAATATTGATTAAACTCAAAACAGTTTTGTGATGTTTTCATATTACTTCAATCACTTAAAAATCAAAAGCCACAAGAAATATTGTCCCCTATGGCAGAGTGGCACCATGTGACAATATGGCTACATGGGGAACAGGAGAGGACTCTGGCCAAGTGGCACATGGTGTGGCAGGATTCAGCTGCCCAAATACAGAGGTACAATGTCTTTTAGGTGTTGTGGGGATGCTTTCCTGGATTGTGCCTACTACTGCTCTGAAAGCATGCAGGTGTGTCCTGGGGCAGAGGTCCCCTCTGGCTACCTTGTGAAGATGTCATGGGTGTCCCAGTGCTTCTCCTGTGTCATGGGATGCTCGTTCTCTGCCTGTGCATCCTGGAGGGAGCTTGCAGCTGTGCAAGTGACAGCCAGGCCAGGCTGCATGGCAAGTCCAAAGGTTGGATATTGCTTCCTTAAGAGCTGCCTTCAGCAGTGTGGATGGTGGCAATGCTTTCCTTGGGACAAAGATGATAAAGACATCTCTATCACTATAGTGACTCTATAAAGAGGAATCTGAAAATTTCAGATCAGCATCTTCTTTCATGACAGTACTTAGGGCTACCTTTGAAGCTCTTGAAGCTCATGGAAAGAAAAAAGCTTTGCCAAGAAGAGAGCCTTCATCGCTTCTGAAGATTGATGATGTGAATTAGACTTTCAGGCATCACTTACATGTCTTAGTAAAGTGACATGAATCTTTGATCACTGTGATAGCACAACATGGGTCAAGCCGCACCTAAATTTGATAGCTAAACCTTTGTAACACAATCTGTGACAGGTGTTTTGGCTCCTTTGTGGACAGAGATAGGGAGCTCCTCATTCTAAACCAACTGGTAGTGCCACTGTCCCTTCACCAGGTATCTGGGGATCAGGAGGAATGTGAACACTGTACGTGTCAGGTGTGGCCTCCTTTTCTGCTAAATTTAGCCACTTGAGAAAGAAAAGATGTGGCAATGCCAGGAGTATTTGAGTTCCTCAAAAGTCAGTGGAAATCCACAAACACTTCTTCCATACATGACTTATCTTGTTCCCAAAGTTGTGACTTAGTTGGAACGGGCAAGTCACAGTTTGGAGGTGCTTATTTCTTTCCAAGGGTTGTAGAAAGCTCCTAGGTATGAGTCATAAACTTAGAAAGCTAACCTGTGATCTCCTTAAGTACAGTAAAATTAGTATAAGAAATATTAATTTAAACTAAATTCCTTTCTATATTCACTTTTCATCACTGTTCTTTCTAGCAGTGTTGGGTATACATGTCCAGATTTTGGTAGCAGGGATTGCAGGGTGAAGAGTGGTGAGGGGTTGCTCTGTGTTCCCCAGCACCACAGGACACTGTGAAAACATGCTGCAGAAAGGGAGAAAGTGCTCCCAGGCAGGCATGGGAGCACTGCAGCTTGATCTAAAGAGGCAATAGTTCACAAATGTTAGTAAATAGCCTGGGTAGAAGGACACAAATTTCTTTCATGTACTCCAGCACGTGCTGTATATCACCATGGGGTCACCTTCCTTCTGCTTATCTCTTCCTTCATACATACATGTTTTGGGAATAATTACAGATGCCAGAGGATCTAATGGCCATTGTTCCATTTGTATAATGAATCTTTAATCTGGGAGGATAAGATTTGGGTTTTGGACAGGAGAGATCCTAATATTCCATTAACTTGACCTATTTCTTTCTCTCTTTTCTGAAATGCTTTCCTTTGACAACAGAGATAAAACAAGGTAGTGAACCAGTGTATAAATAGGCAGAAAAACCCCCAGATTCTGTAACTGAAATGTTTATTGTAGAATTTGTCTCTCATACAATCTGAACTGATACTCCTATTTAACTAATAAAAAAATTATATACACTGAAATAAAAATCTGTAATTTGAATGTATCTGGAAATTAAATCTACAACAGAAGTTTTTTTTTTCTTTCTTTCTTTCTTTTTTTTTTTTTTTTTTAATTGGGAGGGCGAAAATAG